GGTGGCTCTCCGCCTCTCCCCAACACTCCGCATCCTCACGTACACAATACACTTTGAGCTTACCAAAACCAATTCTCAAAAATAATAAAATAATGAAAAATGCACCAAACCCATAATGATGATGATGATAATAATAATAATAACAGAAGAGGAAGGTGTCAAGGTATCTAATCTCAACATTCAATCCGCTAGGCTCTTCACAACGCCGAGTGTCCGCACAACCATAATCATAATTCCAAGCAAAAAATAAAAGTAACAACGTGCCCTGATAAAAGTGCAGCGTTTGCCAAATAGGTTTCGACACCAGTACTCCTTCGACATTCGAGGTTCATCCGGGTCCTCCACACTGGATTCTACAAATAGTGAGAGCAGCGCTGGTAAGAGCATTAGCATGACCGCCGCTGGGAGCGCCCCGATCAGCGAAACCACAATCGCCACAGTATCAGTTCCCGCACCAATTGCAACAGCATACACAACAAGATTTACCGCAAGTAGCATTAAGATTGCTTTCCAGGACCGGAAAGGCCACCCAAGAAGTGAATCAATTTGCAAAATTCCGGGCATAAAGAGAATCGGATATGAACACAGGATGTTGATCATAAATGCCACACGCAAAACAATGGAAAACGGATCCTTGGGTAGTGCATCCACCAGCGACACCTCAAGTGCCCCACCATACGCCAGGTATCCAACCAAGCCGTACAAGAAATACCAGCCAACAACCAAGTACAGAACGACGGTGAGCACCAGCGGAAACAAAGGTTTGTTCTTGCATGAATTTTCGACGGGCAAAACAACACCAATTCCCTCTAGCACCATCATATTATTTGCCATGTTGTTGAACCAGCCAAGCGGTATAGAACGGCCCCAAGGTATTGTGCTCTCTGCCACGCCCTCTTCATGAATTTTAATAAATGACACAATCATCGTAGCAACTAGCGCAAAAACCACAGATACAGTGGAAACAATGGCTACAACCGCAAGGAACGCCAGGTTCTCGCTTAAAAAAGTCATAGGCAAAACAATGGCAAACATAACGGTTATCCAAACATACACATTTCCTGAAAACGCTGGCACAATTCTTGCCATGACACCTGCAGAAAGCTGCAGGTAAAGCAAGCAAAAAGGCATATTGTGTCAATAGCAAGGCCACAAAAAGAATGTATCGAAAAGGTTTTCCGAGAACAAAATCACAAAGCTGCGCATAATCCGAAACAGATCCTCGGTTTACCTTTGTTTTGGCACGGACCAGCAGTCGGGAACAATCCACAACAATAGCCCCGATGAGCAAGGAAAAAATTGGAGACATAATATATCCAGAATCCTTGTAAAAAGTGGGCAGCAGAAACACGCCAGACGCCACATTCGCCTTGAAGACATTAAATGCGCACTTGGGAAGATTGGCATTTTCAAGCACCCAAAGGTTGCCTTCACTCTGGATATCTTCTTCTTCGGCTGCATCATCCACATCCGAGCAAGGCAAATACTTCTCCGATCGTCCTTCGCCGCCTTCTGTAGCATTGGGAAGGCGAGGCTCACCATTTCCCTCGTTGGGAAACTTCTCGGCAACATCCTCACCAAAGTAATTGGGTTCGTGTGGTTGCGGCATCGACGTTGTCTTTACCTTTACTGTGATCTCGTGACGCATCATAGAAAACAAACACAACAATAATTATAAAGCTAACAAGCATTCACAGGTGCAGACACCTTTATTGTGGCCAGCCAGACCAACAGCATAAAATATAAAATGTATATATAAGCGCATAGAAATATATTCGACTGCCCCACACCCCGCAACAAAAGTTAACATATTTGCTTTTTCTCGATGCTAGAGAGTAAAGGTAATTTGTTGTGTATATTATTGTAAAGCTAGTTATATATAAACATTTTTTTTATGTTTTTTTTTTTAGTGGGTGGAAGTATGGTAGACTCCTTAACGGTTATTTATATGTGGTTTATTTAAAGAGAATGACATCTATGTTATGGTGAAATAAAAAAAAATAATAATGCCTGAAAATAATAAAAAACAGGTTTATTATTACTATTATTATTATCTGGGATCCAAATACTTCTAAAACCAAAAGTTGTTTGGTGTGAAAAATACCACGAATTATAGTTATTTCTATATTGATAATAAAGACAACATCAATGTTGCAGCATGCCTTTGCAAATTGATGCTACCCACCCCTTNTTTCTTTAGTAATTTCGATATTCTCCATAAGCCTCCGAAAAAGCCGCACAAGAGGACTACGTTAG